TTGCGTTTTGTTGTGGATGCATTTTGGTACATTAAAAATACCTATTATTTTGTTATATTATTTAAATTTATTAATTTAAATAAAAATAAAACACCATGTTAATTAAATCTGATTAAAAATAAAATCGATAACGTGATTTACAAATTAACAAATATATATTTGCTTATTAATGATTTTATTTGCGGATTAGAACTGAATTATTAATAAACACTCTGTATATCGTCAAGAGGTCAAATAGAACAACTTAAAAATAGTTAATTAACGTATCTAAAGCTATTTACACAACTTAAAGACAGTTAAACCCCATAAATTTTATATTTGTATTTATTACCGCCTAATTTACCATAAATGACCTCTGTGCGACGCCCCCTTAGGGCGTCCCAAAAAATTTAATTTTTAACGACCACCCTAGAGTATATTATATAGTTTTTAAAGTACAGGGTAAACGTTAATATTTATAAGATAAGGAGAAATATATTTCCTTAAATTTAATATACACGGTGATTCCCCTACACTGAAAAAAAAAGAAATGAAAATGACTTTGATTCAAAAGATTTGCGCTTTTGAAGAATTATCTAAATCAGAAACTATCTTTAAACATTTTTTTCTTTAATTACTTGTGAGGAGAGATTTATCTATTCGTTTAAAAATATTAGAATATTATCTTAAATCAAGAGCAAGCGATTTCTTGGTACAAGAACCAAAAATATTTCTTCGGAAGATATTTCTCTTTTGAATGAAGAAAACGTTTTTTAGCGCAAAAAATGGGATTTTAACAATAAAACTGCATATCTTAATTGAAAAGCTTAGGAACTTTCTAAGAAAGAAAATTTTGATTTTAGAGCCAATATCTCTTGGTCCAATAGTATGTATTGCTTTATTCAAAAGCTTCTGATCTTCACTCAATGTAAATAAAAATTATTTGCTGTTAGGTTCAACCTTTTTGTGAACAATCTTGTAGTTAATTTTCCTGTCTTTAAAAAACCATCCATTTGGTTTGAAAAAGATAAGCAATAATCACGAAACTTTTTCTTCTATCAATTTGCAAGTTACTGATCATTAATAGTCCTGGACAATGTATACATTATAATTATTATTAAGCCACTACAAGTATTAACTGCAGTGGCTTTAACAAAATACACATTCACCATTGGAGTCTAATGATTGGACAACATTCACGCGTGTTCACATACAATTTTAATTTCTTTTATATTAATTCCTTTCAAAGCGAAGATTATTATCCGCTAGGAATACTTTCTCCCGGGCCGTAGTCACCTATATTTAACTACTTTTTTATATGATTTTACTCATCTACGCACCACCAAAGCCAAATTAATTAAAAACTCAACTTGACTCAACGTGACAACCGTTCGATGTAACCTACAAAAATTTAAACATAACCACAATTAGGTACATTATAATTACATTTATTAAATTTTAAAATTTAGTATTATAATCCTGTTGTTTGTGAAAAATAAAATACGGTTGTCATAAATATTTCTTTATTATGTTGGTATATATGCCCCCGAAGTATGATAAAAACTTTAGCTGTTTTCATTGTTTACTTTGTCTGTGACAGCCGCTAAGGTTAGACGTGTTTTATGAGCTCGGCGATTTTCGTTCTTTCGAAAGAAATGGATCAAAGAATTTGTATCCAATTTTGCTTAAAAAATGAAATAAATTCTGTGAAATGTTAACAAAGGCCTATAGTGAGTGTGCTATAAGTAAAACAAGAGTTTACAAGTGGTATAAGAGTTTTCAAGATGGCCGTGAAGACGTTGAAGATGACGAACGCACAAGCACATTACCAACCGATAAAAACATGGAAAAAGTGGAAGAAATGGTTATAAACCATCGGAGAAGTCGCTGATGATGTTGGTATATCGATTAGCTCATCCCATGCAACTTTTTCGAATGTTTTGGGTATGAAACGCGTGGCAGCAAAATTTGTTCTAAAATTGTTAAATTTTGAACAACAGCCTCCATAATCGCCAGACATGCCTCTGTCTCTGTCTCTGTTTTGCAAGCATAGATGACATTAAAAGCGCATCGCTGAAAGAACTAAAGTAAACTTCGAGTATTGGAAGAAGAGCTGGCACATGTGCATAATATCCAATGGGGACTATTTTGAAGGCGACAACATTAATGTAGACGAATAAATAAATATTTGTTTCAAAAAACGAAAATTCCCAATATTTTCTGAACACACCTCGTATAAGATATTTCTTATTTCTTAGCAGTAATAACATGTCAGTTAAATTTTATTTTTGTTAATTTCACTGCACCCCAATTAAGTTAAATACGTTGTTGTCAACAACAAAACCTATGCCTTTGTTTGAAATTCGCAATTTCGCTTGTGTGTAGAATTTATTTTATCAGCATGTTACGTTTTAAATTCTCCACGTAGAGAAACTTTTGTAAAGTTAATTTACATCTGTTTTATTTGGTTTTTAGTTGTGTTAACTTATGTAGTAAATAAATTAGAGAAACACCCCTGAAATTACACATTTTAGCTTTATTTTTAAGTTTGTTTAGTGCTACAGTATTCCTTTATGAATTTAAACTAAATAGCGTTGAGTGTAATCAACGCTAATAGCCAACATAAATTAAAAAAAAATAAACAAAATAATTTGCTAAATATGTAAGAAAAAGGAAGAGGAAATATTCAATGTTATTGTATAACACTGTTTGGCCCAGTCGTGCTCTTGAATTTTTGAAATAATTCACAAACTTTTTTATTTAAAATAAATATAATTTTTTTTCTTTTTTACTGTATTATATAAGGATTATTACGTATAATTAACTATATTTCAATAAAAAAACATAAATGTTTTTTTTTATTTTTTACTTTGTTAAATATGACTTATTACATATAATTAACTATATTTTAATTGAAAAACATAACGGTTTTTATATTTTAAATGCGTCTATTTTCTGAAAATTTTAAGAGAAGATTTCCAAATTTGGATGAAAATCAATTCACACTTAAAGAATAAATGTTAAAATCCAAATTATGTTTATTTATTTCTTAAAGTAGGCTTAAGATAGTTAAAAAAACGTGTATTTATTGATCTATTTTCGCATTCGTTTCACTGCGAACATCTAAAAAAAGCATTCAAAAAATAAAGACTTTTTTTATTAAAATATAGTTTATTTATACCTATTAAGTCTTATTTAACACAGTAAAAAATTAAATATTTCTTTGCAATAAAAAAGTGTTTTGATTATTTCCTCAATTAAATCCTCTTTAAAAATAGTTCTGTTAAAAACTAAAATGAAACGAAGAATTTACTCATTTTGAAAAATCACAAAATGCAATAGTCTAAGTTAAATTTGCTTTCGCTATAATGTAATATATATAATGTTTTACCTAATAGTTTTTACCTTTAAAGATACAAAACAACTCTCTAAAAATGAAACAGTGGATTTTCACTGATTGACAGTGCATATTAACTATTTGCCGCAGTGATAAGTATACCACTAGCAATTAGTGAATACTCACTTTTTCATGTAGCGATTTATTTGCACTAATTTATTTAGTGAAATAGGTTTAGTTCAAAAAAGTTAAAATTTCACTATTTTATGTCGAGAGTTCCGGAAAAGTAGTGATAATAAAAAACACTAATTTGGAGAAGTTAAAATTTTACTAATTTATATTGAAAAACACTAATTTTACAGTGAATAATAACTCACTGACGGAAATAGTGAAATTTCACTGTTTCACTTTTAGAGAGAAGGGATTATTAATTAATTTCTAAAATATTTTTCCTTTAAAATATAGGTATCCAAAGCAAAGGATTATCTATTAATTAATACCTAATAATTTGTTATGAATAGGTAATTAATTATTAAGTATAATTTGTATATAGTTTTTAATAATAATTAATAAATTCAACTTAAACTTATAAGCTTAGATCTGTGGGTACAAAAATCTTGAGTGTGTAGACAATGCCTTAGTTAGTTATAGTTTATTAAATATTAGTTTTTAAAAATTGTAGTTTTTAGTATATTAAAGAACTAATGTCATAAGAAGTCATTTTGTCGCACGCGGACAATTTATAATGGACGAGTGCGACAAAAGGTCTTATGACATGAGTTCTTTATGCTATTTTATCTATTTTGAAAAAATTCTATAAAAAAATAACATACCTTAAATTTAATTTGATCGAATTTTACTTTAGATAGTTGGTATCACAGTCATTGGTTTGACAGTTAATGTCAAAATCGATTCGCCATGCCGTCCTTAATTTACTTATTTACAATAAGCGGCTGTTAATGTTAAAGAAGAAAAAAAGGATTTTCTTTGGTGTTAAAAAAAAATTATTGCCAGAAAAGTCTCGTAAGTACTAGAAAAATCATAAAAATATTGTAACCAATATGCAAAATATTATGCTGTTTAAAGTATAGCCAACCTATAAAATCAAAATTTTGGGTGTAATAAAGTATCTTATTACAGCACCAAAAGCGGTGTTATAATGAAGTCATTATGAACGCAAAATAGAATATTTTATTCTACTAAATTATTGGTTAAAATTTGTAAAGAGTCATTTAAATGATAGTCGAACAATTTTTAATAAAAAAATTCTCACATTACATTTAAATGTTATTTTTAAATTTTAAAGTGATAATTTTTTGATTAAAATTTATCTACCATCATTTAAATAACTCTTGAGAAATTTAAACAAAAAACTTTAATTTTTATCTTAAATATATAATTATAATTATTAATGCAAAGATGATATTTATTATAAAACATATAAAAAACTTCAATTGCCTCTTCTATAAAAAAGGATCTTTGGATCCCGTCACATATCATAAAAAAAATAGTTAAATAATTATTTGAAGTACCTCTTAATGCATAGATTAGATTTATTATAAAACATATAAATATGAGATTTTCATAAAACCAATGCTGTGTCCATATTTTCTAATTATAGCAAAAATGTGGCGATTTTTTTTCTTGGTCCTATTACTTATAGGAACAGTACAGTGTGATCAAAATGGTAAGTACATTTTTTATTAATAATAAATACTTAAAAATAATAAATCTTTTTTTAAAATAATTTTAATTTAACCATTTGTCGGTTATGCCATTACCCTTGGTGAAGAACCTTTATCTTCACAGGCTTTTTTAAAAGCCAACTTTAAACCATTACGAGTTTTGTAGAGATTAAAAAAAAGGTGGTCTGTCCATTTCATTTTTCACTATCAGTTGAATCACATGAAAATTCTTCTAGAAGTTCCAAAATATTTAGTTAAATTTTCCATAATTTTTGGTATGTATGGAATCTCTTCCCTATTTTTAATTATATTTCAGACGCTGTTTTATAAATAAAATTGCAAAACACTCGAAATGTTATCAGTATTTATTTATAAACATCAATAAAGCTCTTAAGTGTTTTTTTTATCAAATATCTTTATATTTTCAGAGGATTTTGCGACATTTAAGCAAGGAATCAAAGAATATTTCGAAACCAAAACGGCCCCAAACAATTTGTTAAAAACCACGGAAAACTTTAACTTTAAACACCTCTTTCGGGAGTCGACCGAACTAAAAATCAAAAATTCTACACTGTGCGAAGCTTGTAATTTAATAATGAACTTTATACTTAAAGAAAGAAAACAAGGATTAACTAAAGAAAGGTTGCAATCAATTATAAGTGAATTATGCACATTATTACATATAGAAAGTAAAAAAGTTTGTTATGGTTTTATAGCACTTAACGCGGTTAGTAAAAAGCACATAAAAATTAGTTTTTGTTTATATTAATGGTAATTTTAGGACCCAATTTTTTATATTATAGACCACAAAGAAGATTTAGACGGACAAAGAATTTGCTCTTCAATATTACAAAGTAAAAATTGTCCAAAAGGTGATAATTTTGAATGGGAGATAGAAATACCCGAAGGACACACTGTTGATCAAAAAGAGGTAAACACCATTAAAAACAGCGCATTTTTCATAGTATACCCTGAAAATTTCATCAAAATCACTTAACAAATAACGTTGGGCCACCAGAATCACCCGATTTGACTACCGACAAGTTTTTTATTTACACTTGGAATAAAACCAAATTTTTAGGGTATACTAGCTTAAACTCACAAAATTCAATGGTGTTAACACATTTTACCTCCAGCCAAGCGTTGACTCAGGAAACTTCAACATCCTCCACCTATCCGATTTTCACTACGATCCAATGTACACACCGGGCAAAAACGTCGCATGCGAAGATCCCCTGTGTTGCCAAGTCGACTCCGATGACCCTAAAAATAGTTCTAGTGCTTGTGGGTATTGGACGGAATACAAAAACGCCGATATACCCTGGCACACTCTTGAGGAACTTTTGAAGCAAGTACAGAATCATGTAAGTGTGTTTGTGGAGTAAAAGCGTTGTTGCAGAAGGGGAATAATGATCGTATGGTATATTTTAGGATTTTGACTTTGTATATTTTACTGGGGATATAATAAGTCATAGAGTGTGGTCTACCTCCATAGAATCCAACACTCAAGCTATCAAAGAAGTATATCAGTTATTTAGAGACAAATTTTCGGTGCCAGTTTTTCCAATTCTTGGTAATCATGAACCTACACCTATCAATCAGTAACTATGCATAATATAAACCAATTTGTTTTTCGTTAGCACAATTTTTCAGATGGTCTAAAGATGTAGCAGATCCAAACCTTTCTACAAGTTGGTTATACGAGTTGGTAGCCCAGGAATGGTCCTCGTGGTTACCAACAAGTGCACTAGAAACAATTAGGCATGGAGGTTACTATACTGTATCTCCTAGGCCGGGTTTTAGAGTTATAGTATTAAATAGTAACGTTTGTTACAATTTGAACTGGTGGCTTATCTACGACGATTTCGACCCCTACAATCAACTAAGTTGGTTGACAAAAACTTTACTTGAAAGTGAGCAAAATGGCGAGTCAGTGCATATATTATCTCACATACCTAGCGGTAACGGAAATTGTTTACATGTATGGAGTAGGGAGTTCAATAAAATAGTGCAAAGGTGCTAAATGCTAGATGATTTAATCAGTATTTTTGACAATTGTTTTGTAGATTTGCAAACACTATTACTGGTCAGTTTAATGGACATACACATACGGATGAATTCCAGGTTTATTTTAACCAATCCAACCCCTCTGAAGCTGTAAATGTGGCCTATAATGGAGCTTCGTTGGTGACTTATGTAGATTCAAACCCAAGCTATAAAGTTATTGAAGTTAACAACGAAACTTATGTAAAACATTTTTACCATAAAATAAATAGTATTAATTTATATGATTCAGAACCTTAACGATATAGTTGAATGGACTTTCAACCTAACAGAAGCAAATTTAAGTCCGGAAATAGGCCCCAATTGGTACAAACTCTATTCATTCAAACATGCCTATAACCTAGCGGATTTAAAACCAAAAACAGTAGGAAATTTGCTGTATACGATGGCAAAAAATCACACTTTACTCGAGCAGTTTAATAAGTAAGTGTCGGGGAAACTAATCCCCATTCCTTTCCTACCCCTCACTCTTACATACTAAACATTGTTTTAGCTTCAGATTTAGGAATTCAGACAACAAACAAATGTGTGATCAAAAGTGCCAAAGAGATGTCCTATGTGTAGTTTCAGTCACTTTATATGGAAATAATGATAAATGTAATGAACTTCAAAATATTTTCGATGAAAGTCTGTAAAAGTCATAATATTACTGTGTAAAAGAATGATTGTAAGTTATAAATAAACGAAAATAATAAATTTTGATTTTTTGCTGGATGCACCTTATAAATGCGGATCACGTTTCCGCATTTTATGTGCTTTTGTTTTTCGACGATTCGTATCCTAAAATTTGAATTTCCTGTAAGTAGGGTTGCTAAAATTGGCAAAGTTTAAATCGGGTGAAAATGCGTTTGGAGATGTATTTGCAATTCCTAAAATCACATAAATAAAGTAAACTTTCACTTTCCACACCGCGAGTATTAAATTTAAATGCAGTTAATTTCGTGATGAATGTGGTTGTAGTAGACCATAAGGGATGTTATCGTTTATTATTGCTTAACTTTGTTGTGAATATTTTCAAAAATGTATAAGTATAAGATATGCGTTAATTAAATTCATCTCCCATACATGGCTGCAGCCCATGTCTTTAATTAATGCAATCTTGTAACGTGACATTGAAAAATTAATGATTTTTTTCTCGAATGCAATTATGACTGTAAAGGGCCATTTTTGTCAACTTTCACCTCACAGTTTTTTTTAATACACGACAATGTTGTCTGTTCCCAACCAAAATTATCAATCTGTCATTCTCGTCTAGAAGATTCGGCAACACTGGATTATTTTTTTATTTGTAGTGGACTTCACAGAACATAACAGATAATTCGTTTTCAGAGCAAATTTTAAGATTTTAAATAACACTGCTTAAAGAAATGTCACTGCAACTGTCAAAAGCGAAAAGCGTTTTTTGTTTCCATAGAAACCAACTAACGTGTTTTAATCCTATTTTTTTAGATTTTAAATTCACGTCCCTGTGTTACATATATGTATGTATGTATGTATGTATACAGGGTGAATCATTTAACTTTAAACTTTGAAATATCTCAGTTAGTATGCATTTTACGAAAAAATGTTTAGAATAAAAAATAAATAATTCGAGGGGGGAAATCAATCAGTATTAAAATTGATCCTCATACTCTCCTCCTTATAGGGAGAACAGGGGGTAACTTTACAATGGAACACCCTATTTTTTTTATTGCAGATTCGAACCATTCGACTAAAAATAGGTAGATTTTGTCCAAAACATTTTTTCATATTTGTAATAGATGGCGCTATAATAAAAAAAAAAATTAATTTTGTTCGATTTTTCTTCTGTATACGACTCTGCAATCATTTTTCTATAAAAATATCACTTGTGGTAATAACTACCTTATTAAATTATACATATATGATTTTTTAAGTACTCACGATTTTTTTGGTTTAAGTTTTATACATTATTTCATTCAGTGATAATTATAAATATAAAAATTGCGCAATTGATAATTATCAATTGCGCAATTTTTACCTGCTAGCATTAAATCCTTTAATTTAATTATTGTAATATTTTTAATAAGAATACCTCGAAAAAACATTATTTTGTCAATTAATTAATTTAATAATATTGAGGTATTAAAAAATGGCATTTAGTTATAACGTTATAAATAATAATTATTATTGAGGTAGGTATAAAGAAACTATTTATACATAGTTTAGCATTATTTAATCAATTTAGTTCGAGATTAAGATTAATTTGCAAACAAAAATACCTCTTTTCGTTAAGCAGTTATTCATAATGGATTTTTTAACAGTGCACTGGAAAAAAATAGAAATGATTTTGAATTATGGAGAAGCAGGCAGGAATCTTGATGATGCTGTTAATATCTACGCTCAGCGTTTTCCGGATAAAATTCACGTCACCGTACAGTCAAGCAGTTTACTACAAACGGGAGTGTTCAACGAACAACAATCACAGGTGAAAATAATGAAATTAATGTATTAGCAGCAACGGCCGCTAATCCTCATGCAAGCACACGAGAATTATCTAGAGATTTGGGAATATCCCAGAGCAGCGTTAAAATTAAAAAAATAAAACCAAGTATTTTATTCAATTTTTTTTTTGAATTTCGTTTATTTAAATATCTACAAAATATTTAATATAAGAAGGCTTTACATTTTATTCAATTTTTTTTTTGAATTTCGTTTATTTAAATACCTACAAAATATTTAATATAAGAAGGCTATGCATGAACAGAGCATACCTAGCGGCACTTTTCTTAAGTAAGTAATCAAATTTTTCACCATGTAGGTATAATCTTTAAAGCAATGTATTGTTTACCCACTATAAATATAGCTGAAAATAACCCAAAAACTTCCAGGTGATCTTTGTAATATTATTCAAGTAGCAAACGCGTTTTTTCGTTGATAACGAATAAAAGCTCTTGTAACTAATTTAACTTATTCAGCTTGATTTTTTTGTTTATATCTTTATTCGGCTGGATAATGTGACTTGTTTATCGTTGTCATGGCAACGGCGTTAATATGATAACTTGATTTTGGTAATTTTTATCGGAATCGTGTGATTTAATTAAATTATTGTTTATGGTAATATTTAATAAATATATACACATCCCAATAAATATTATTTATTGGATGTGTGTATACAATTTAATTTATCCTGTTTGCACATGTAATCTATTGTTTGTTTTGTGTCTGTGTTAAAAGCGGTTTTTATCGGAATAGATACATGGATAAATTTGTAAAACTGAATACTATTGCATAGAGGACGTTCAGTATTTAATAATCCTTGACGAATAAGTTTCGTAAATTTTATGGATTTTTCTACCAAGTCAAAACCTTTCATAGCGTCGTTTTTATGGAAAATAATTTTGCAGAGCATCATTTATTCAAGGCAAAATATTTAATAAAAGCTGCGCTCTAACAAATCGTGAATATATTAAATAAAATGTGCATGAACAAAATTTAACCGTCGCGAAAATAATAAAAGGAAAAATAATTTTTAACTAAATTGGACCAATAAAATATTTTGTCAAAAGTAACTACCTATATTTATATTTTGTGTATCCTTTAGGATCCGTATGATTTTGGTAAATAAATCTTGAAATAAAAGTAATTACTCGAAGATATATGTTACGAAATATCTGAGGGAAAGAAGGAAAAAACAAAATAAATATAGCGTATTTTTTGTTTCCTTCAAGAAATGTTGTATTTACTGCAGTGAATTTGTCAAAAAGCACTTTTAATTTAGCATTCATTTTTCTATTATTTCTATCATTGTTCAAAACTAAATAATATTGTTTTGAATTTTTTTGTCGATTTTAATATTGATCCAACACATGACAGTTATGACTGTCATTTTAGACAAGTAAACTATCAAATAACACACTATAGTGTGTTATAATCCATAACTCACTAGTGAGTTATGGATCATAACTCACGTTCATATTTAAAGTAGTATTCTATTTAATTATTACTATTACAAGCAGAATTCACATTGATATTGAAATTAAAGGAAAACGCTAACGGTTTATTCGAATTTGAAGCCATTGTAAAATTCGTTGGTTAATTGGAACCAGACGCTCCCATATCGGTACAGTTGCTGATAGTGCTGGAAGACGCTGACGCATAAGAACCTTGTATTTTTTCTGAAATTTGTATTTTGTTATACACCGATTCTTCTAGGTATCCTGCTACCGTCAAGGACCTCCATCCTCCGTGACGCTTCAAAGTAGTCATGTTAGCCCCTGCATTGGCCAAAAGAGTCGCCGAAGACCTTCTCAGGCAGTGACCGGTGTTGAGCGCTGGTTCCTCCAATTTCAAAAACATTGCAATTCTTGAAGGTATCTTCGACAACGTATTTATTCCCACACACTGACTGGTACACCTCCCATTTTTGTAAAAAATAATAAAGCGGATAGAACTAGTATTCTTTGGTCTCAGACATGTATTTTTTACACAAATTGATCGGGTTGAATGGAAATCCTTCTTCAAGTATGGTGAAACTTCTAAATTTCTTGGTTTTAATGTCTGGCAAAACTACCTGATATTTCCCTTTGTCTTGAATATTTTCTATTTTCAAATTGACCAATTAATCGCATCTACAAGCACCACTAATCCTCATTATCAAAGCCACTTTCATCAACAGGTACTAGTCATCGGGAGCTTCGTTCAAAAACTTCTCTATTTCAGGTCGTTCTAATGTCTTAGACTTCTTTGGTTTGTATCCCTGTGATTTGCTTTTCAAAAAGCTCGTTAGTTTGCCATATTTTGAAATGTCGATTTTGTGAATAGTCGAGCGAAGCATCGAGTATTTGGTCCATATAGACGATGGGGCTAATTTTTTTTGCGAATGTAAAAAATAAGCCAATAGAACATTTTCATCGATACCTTTCATCTTCCGTGAATTCGTAATTTTCATAACTTTTCTCCATTTTCTATACGATATTTTTTCAAAGAAGCTTCCCTTTTCTGCAGGGAAACTGAGAAGTTTCAAAATTTATTTAAACATTTGCTAACAAAGTATCATGCCCGTGGCAACCAAACAAACAACCTACTTTGACGAAAATGTAAAAAAGTCACTGACAAGTCATTCTGACATTTATAGGGTACTGAGACACTTGTCGGATAAAACATTGTATGCCACTAGCGTGTTATGTTTGGCCTGACGGCCTCGTGGTATAAATCTTTCTCGCGTGACTTATTTTCAACATAACACACTAGGTAGGTATAACATACGCGATAAGAAAAGTTGAATATTTTTAATAGTTTTAAAAAAGAAATTACGCATCTGATTTTTAAAAACACGACATCACTGATATAATAAAATAAGATAAACCAGGAGCAAAAATTATTGATTTGTAGTTTTGGAAAAATGAATAAGTAAGCGCACTCAGAAAAATGTACATGCACTGATAATGAAACTAATTTTGTAAGCGATTAACAAAATAATATTATTTAACTTAAATTTAAAATTGCAATGGCTATAAGTAAATGTTCCACCTTAGGTAGCTTTTTATTACATTTTCAGTGTCTTATTGGGACATAAACCTACGATTTGTGAAAGTAATGAGATTATTTTTATTTACATAATAAACTTTTTTTACTGTTAATAAAATTCTTGTTTACTATAATGAAGCAGCAATGT